CATTATTGTGGATTTGCAAGGATGATGTTTGTACTAGAGAAGAGTAAATATCTACCGTTTATTACATTGCAATTGTGCCTGTTTTGCAGAGCTTATGGGTGTTCATTTGTGGATTTGCAGGATGGAGAAGAGGGCAAAATTTGTGCCTATTTTGTGCAAGCTATGGTGGCATTGGAAACTGCTCAGGTTTTCTCACTTGATTTTGAAGTTTGAAGCTTTCAGTTTTATATCACATTTTATGTACTAATTCCTGTTTGTTTAACCATGACGAATACTTGATACTGAATGAATGGATGTTAATCTGAATGCTGTTCTTTTAAATATGAAAAATTTCAATTTTCAGCCACATTTGAATATATGATACTGCTTCTCGCAAAACAGGGATAACTTGATCACTGCAACATGAGGCCATAATAATTCACCATAACGAGTAAAACAGGGATAAATTGTCACTTGCAACTGATGCATAATGTAATTCATATAATGATGTGGTATTTATGTAATTGAATTAGTTGATAATGAATATTAAGAAAAAACTAGCTGTTCAAACTCAAAGGAGGGCATTGTGTATATGTCATTATTACAACGAACTCTATAAACAGAATAGGACGAAGTGATTGATTTGTCTTTTTGAACCTTTTGGGTACCAATTGTCGTTACTTTAAACCCTGGGTATGTGTTTACCGTATTCCCCCCCCATTTTAAACTGCTGCTTAGTTTTTCAAGCCACTGGTGCCCCATAACTGGACAACCAGTTTCACCAGACTGTTTTCCTCAAGTACATGGTCTGGTAGCCCCCTCACTTGGACAACAATTTCACCGACTTTTATGTCCTCAAGTACATGAGTCTTGGGTAGCCCCATACACTGGACACAGTTCACCAAGACTTTTCTTCCTCACGAACATTGGTGTAGGAGTAGACTAATTCAAACATAAACAGTTATTTAATTTGTCATTAATATTTGTGTGCAAAGTTGCCAGAAGAATTAATGTCTCAGAAATGGATTACCTTCTTCTTGGTTCTGCAGTATTCGCAATAGAAGCACTCAAAATCTTCTACTAAAATGGGGAAGCTCATGGCCTCTTTCACCTTACTTACCCTCTCTTTCACTCTATCTCTTTTCTTGTTCGAATTTCTCCACGAACCATTGCTCTCCAAAATGGGATAACTTACCAAAGCAGCATCGCTCCTTCTCGTCCAGCCCTGTATGCCTAAAAATCAAGTTGACAAAGCTGATGTCAGCCCATGGCCATTGAATCAAGTTCAGGAAGAGTTGCAGCAACCGTCCAGAGTTGCCCCCGTCGCTCTAAGATAGAAAGAATATAGACTTCAAACCATCCCAACTGAAGCAGGTTGGTCTGTAAATGAATTTGGTTCGCCACACTTACTAAGCCTCATTATTTAAGGTATTCAGCTAATTCTCAACCAATGGGAAGTTATGAGAGATTTGACACACACCAAACCCATTGCAATAATTAATCTACCTTAAGCACAACATGTATAAAATATAGCTCTCCCTCACAAAATCAAGTACCAGTACACTCTCAATTCAACAAAGAAAATAGCAAGACACACTACTAGAAAGAGAGTAGCTTGACATTTCTAAGAAATCCTTAGACACCAAGCACTACAACCCAGAATCGCAGCAGGGAACACACTAATATGAAGAAACATGGGTGTAGGATTCGATTTTAAACATCTGAACCCACTATAAAAATCTAGGGTCTTCCTTTAATCTTTACGTCTTTTTATGTTATTGTGGAAAACAGTACCCTATTCCAACTTTTAATACATCATGTTCACGTGTAATTTCTAAGATCTTCTAACACTTTACACGTGCAAAGTCTTGGTGTCAAAAAGTCCAAACAACAAGCACCACACCCCAGAACTATGCAAACCTTCTTGTTGGCAGTACATAAAGACATAAGATCTTTGTTGGCACTTAATGCATTTTCCTTCTCATCAGCTTCTGATCTCTTCTTCTCTCAATCGCACAATCTTATGCAATCAGCCAACAACCGAGCAAAATTTCCTCTTAAAGGACTTGTTTTCGACCGCGGGCAAGTCCATGGAAAAGACCACTTTCTTACTTTCGCTTACGTAGTGTCTTTTTGTCTGCTCCATGTTATTGCATTTACCTTCTTCTGCTTCCTCCATAAGAGTTTTTCAAAGTCATTGCTTTGAAAAGTTTTATTTATTTTGCTGTACGGTTTCGCTGCACTTTCTTGGTTACTTGGCTGTTTGCGTGGTACTTTAGCTCTGTTTTCGGTGCTTGAAGAGGAGCTATGGAATCGATCCGTCTACGAAAGGCGGCTAACGGTGTTTTAGGGCAAACGAACATGATGGATGTTCTTGTTCAATCTTTTATGACATGCTCTCCTTTTTGGTCTGACAGGGGTTTAACTTTCTGAAATTCAAAGATTTTGCAGCAGTTGAGTGATAATTGGATTGATTATTGGAATTCTCTCTGCTGTTAAGATGTGTTGGGGTTGATTGGCATATACAGTTTTGTACTATCGTGAAGAAAAGCTCATTGAATGAAGGTTGAATTGCAAGGTGACTTGGATATTGTAAAAAATTTTTACCCAATTTTCATTGTCACTGAAAAGTATTCCCTGATGAGAGATCTTTCTCTGTTTTCCTTCGTTTGTTGTTTAATTTCGAGAATAAATTTGTGTTTTATCTTGTATAACCACCCGAATTTATACATATTGTGGCCACAACACATTTGTCAGATTGTTATTACATGTTTCTTCACACTAAGGTACAATGAGGGACAAATTTCGGATCAAATGAGATGGTACTCTCAAACTCATAGATTTCAGAATATGTTACCCAAAATATTTGTAACATCTTCGAAGGGGCTGACCTCAAAATTATACAACATTGTTTTGGCAGAAATTCTTAAAGAAGCACAAAATGCCTTCCTTTAAATGGGAAAGTCTCTTGGCTCGCAACAACATAGAATCCACCCTCAATATTCCCTGTACGTCATGTTCATCATGATCTCCCTACAATCATGGAAGGCCACTATGTGATATCATCAAAACGCCAAGTACTTTCACAAAGCTGCGATTGTACCCATCAGCCACTTCAATATCAAACAGCAACTGAGATTCATCGTAGATTACTATATCTCCTGTTAGCGCCTATCTCAACATTATGCTATTTCTCTACCACTACAATTCTTGCATCCTCCATAACTACTTAATCTCTCGGAGCGATTAAATTTTATCTTTCGAAAAGTTATCTCGAAACTGATGCGATACTACTGAGTCCATTGGATTCATACTTGATGATACATGCTTTGATGGGTGTGTTACACTGTCATGTTTTTAGGTTTTGTTTCTATCCTTTGGCCACAGCGCAACCAATCATCAATTCCAATTGTTTCTTGCATTTGGCTTTTTACCTCTATTTGGTTGTTTTTGACATAGAGGCTGTAGTTATAGCCATTGAAGAGCAAATTATATAGTATTAGATTTACAAGGGAGAAGGAATATGCACAATACCTACTACATCTAATTTTTTCCATAGCAACCGTCAAACAAAGAACCGAACAGCGAATAGAAATAATTTGAATCTTACGTTATGGGAATATGGATATCAACACATCACCTAAAGCAGAGTAATTTTTAGTAATCGAAACGAGGCCTTGCCGGAAACCTGTCAGTCTTATCAAAATGTTACAAATATGAAATTATGCATTTATATATAAAATGTTTGTGAGTACTAAACTGTTAATCTCTATAATTTTACCTGAATCAAAGGTTGGACTTGAAACATTCCTATCTAACTCCTAATAGTAAATAACCTAAAGATGTAGTAACGTCCACTTTGTTTAATGGCAGTTGACGAGTTGCACAGATGGCACTATCTACTGTACCCAAACGGGTCAATTTCAGGAGTTGTTAACACAAATGCAAAGGGAGTAGATGGACTAATTTGAGCCTAATGAATAATACTCAATATCCAGTTTATCTTCTCTTCTGAGGAGAAAAACATTTTCCAAAGGGCCAGTAACCTCAATAGTAGCTCCATGAGTTCTGCAGGAATTCTAACAGAAGCCATTAAATGCTCTTCAAAATGGAAAACTCCTGGCGTATACACTCCAATCACCATCGTGTTCTTCCTCCCTTTACTTTATGTTCTCATTTTCCCAAAGTTCATGGACCAACGGTTGATTTCAATCAAAAATCACCATGGTGTACTCGACCGCCAGTTCATATTTTCCCTTCTGCCATTCACATCAAGAACAGCAACTGAGAGTCATCACTGGATAATACTAATCTCCTCTTTTGACTATCGCAACCTCTTTTATTCTCTACTTACCCAGCCACAGTCTTGCATTTTTTTTTGTTTTCTTTTTCTCATACAATACGTGTTCCTCGTCGATCGATTTTTTCATCTTTCAAAGACGATCATACTCGAACATATGCGATTGCTAGATGCACGTTCGTACTTGTTCTTCATACATAACACTGTTTACTGTTGTGTTACACTGCCATACTTTTGGCTATTTGTTTCTCGCTGTGCCACACAAACCAATCTCAAATCCAACGTTTGGTATTCTTTTTTGCTTTGTGTTTTATAACTACTTGGATGTTGTTTGGACTTTGGGGGCTGAGCATCAGCATCGAAGAAAAAATTTATGGGATGGAAGCATTCAGAAGGCCTCGCAAAACTTGTGAGGGTAGGAAGTTGGGGGGTTTGCTATAAATAACTTCTTAACGGCCTACTAATGTGATTGTTTCCAGGTGCTTTCAAAATCATGAATTTGGGGGATTTAAAATAGTTCTAGCTGTTAGTTTTTTATCCAGCGTTCAATTCCTAGGTCTTGTTGAAGATCTTGAAGTGATTGTTACCACAGTTTGTTATACCATTCAAGAAAATCACATCCCGTGGTGACAGAGATTTGTGGCCACAGAGAGAATGGAATATGCTACATGCCATGGTAATATACTGAAAGGCCAAGATGCTCCCGCTCAGGAGCTAGCTCATCTTTGTTGTTGGGTGGTTGGGGTTTGGCAGAGTAGTGCAGAGAGCCAGTATTAAATTTCTCCATTAAATTTCGTTGATGATTTTTTTTTTCTATAAAACGTATGCACATCTTGTGTATGTACAGGAATAAAATGGAAAACAAAAACGAAAAGAAAGACTTAGAGATAATCGATTACAAGATTGAAACTTGCGATCAAGAAATTGAGTCTCTAAGGCCAGAGCGTGTCCAGGCAGAACCTTGACTCCGCCAGATCTTCATCTTCCACAGTTGCTTGTAAATAGCTGTTAGTCTCCAGCTTCAATTGGTTCTGGTCAGCGAAATATGTTGAGGAGGGGAACTGACTGAGTATTGTTTCCACAGAATCAGAGTTTTGGTGTTTGAGATGAAGAAGTTGAGTTACCAGAAGAACAAGAGTTGCCATCAAAAACAAAAGCAAAGATTTAAGTTATCTGAGAGCTATTGATCGATGTATGAATTGATTAGTTTCTGAACACGTTATGTGCCATTTATAATAAATGGAAAAAAAACAGGGAATGTCATGCCCATTGATTATTCATAAGAGCCATTGTTTTTTGTCTGGTAATGGTATGGTGTCGGTACTGAACCTGGTTTTGTTTTGGTTTTCGAATCTTCCAATGTTTCCCAAAACCAAAGCATCGGCTCCCTGGAAATGTTGCAGCTGTTTTCCAAGGCCATTTGTATTCCACTACTTGGTCATGGGCCAATTTAAGTCTCAATTGTATCTAACATTTGGGCTAAACGAAAGCCCAAGATCCTTTAATCCGTTTGAGAAGACAATATATATATATATGCATGATTTATGAAAGAATTTATGATAATAATTTATGCCGTTCAAATAAAAAATATAAATCTCTTTGTTAAATTTTAAGTATTAAAATAAATAATAAAAATATTATTTAATAATTATTTATTAATTTATAATAGTCATACTTGGAAGTTGTCATTAGTTTTACTCACAGTGTGTATCAGTTGACGGTCTTTTTCACTATCTAAGAGCATCTCCAACCTAGCGTTATTTTGGGTTAGAGATGACTAAAATAATATGAATTTCAACTTCAACCTAACGTCATTTTCTGCACCAATTTTGTGCCCCATTACAGTGCCGCGCCAAATTTTGTGTAGTACTATTTATGCACACCAATTTGGTGTGGCACTGTTTAAAGTGTAAAAATTATATATTTTTTTTGTTATTTGTATAAGTTAATTTGTTAAAATTATCGTAGATGAAAATATCCGATTTCAAAATTTTCTTGCTCGACATAGATAAATTAAGGATACAGAAGCTCACAATGCTCTTCGAAATGCATTAATTGATCATCTATGGGAAGAATATACTAATTCAGAAAATTAAATTACTATCAATATAGAATTTTACTTTTGTGTTGTTATTGTCTTTTTTTTTTGGGTATTATTTTATATTAGATGTAATGTTTTTCTATATTAAATGTAATGTTTATTTGATTAAATAAATGTTTAATTTTATTAAATTAGTATAATTTTTTAAGTTATTATTATTTAATAAAAATATCATTCTCAATAGTTAATTAATATATAAAAAATAATAAGTTAAATAAATTAATTGTTAATTATTATAATAAAAGAAAAAGAAATAATATTTTTTTTGGTATAATATTTGATGCAGTGGANAAAAAAACAATATCTTTTCATTCATGAATAAAATGAATAGAATTTGGATGTCTTCATGCATGCCTTTTGCAAGATTACCAATCTCTATTATTCAAATTCATGCGCAAAGAAAACCCTAATCGATCGTACATTGTTGAGACATTTAAAATTACAGGTTTATTGCTAAATTGGGTAAGTAACATTTCTTACTGGTTTGACATAATGAGAACACCATGTATCGTTCAAGATTCAATGTATATAGTAATCAGAGAAAATTGAGCTCGACTGATTTTAAAAAATTGTGTTATATATCTGCTTACATATGAGCGGTAAGAGCTTAGGGCCAAAGGGTTTGCTCTCCTTATGGTCTCATATTCAAATCACAAGAACGATTGTTAATATTGTTAGCTACGAACCGTAAACTTGCCTTGTTCGAGGTAGAGGGACTAGTCAAAGTGCGCGTAAGTTGGCCTAGACACCCCCAATAACCAAAAAAAAAATTACACTTGAATTAATGTATATTATTTATTGAATAGGTTTTAAGGATCGATTTGTCACACTGATACCGAATCAAAAGAAAACCTTAGTCCCGGAAAAAAAGAAGAAGAAGAAAAAGAAATCATTGGATGAACGATGAATGTTTGTATCAATGAATAGTGTTCACCCAACAATCTTTCATATCAACAATACAATTAGTTTAATCTGTCATCCAATAATTATCGACCTAATAATGTTATCGTTCCATTTGAAGTGATCCCTTATTTTTCAGAATTAAAGACATATAATTTACACAAAAAGGTGTGGCATTAATAGGGCCAAGTAGATGAATTGAATTTGGATGTCTTCATGCATGCCTTTTGCAAGATTACCAATCTCTTTTATTCAAATTCATGCACAAAGAAAACCCTAATTGATCGTACATTGTTGAGACATTTAAAATTACAGGTTTATTGCTAAATTGTGTAAGTAACATTTCTTATTGATTTGACACCAATGAGAACACCTTGTATCGTTCAAAATTCAATGTATATAGTAATCGGTGAAAATTGAGCTTGGCTGATTTTAAAAAATTGTGTCATATATCTACTTACATGAGGTCAAGGTTTTTCATTTGTCATATATATATATAGAAGTTAAAATTATGTGAAAATACACATCTAATAAAAAATAGTCAAATGAAAATTTTACACTTAGAACCAACAATGGGTTGGTCGAGTGGTAAGGGCTTAGGGCCAATGAGTTTGCTCTCCTTGTGGTCTCAGATTCGAATCACAAGAACGACTGTTAATATTGTTGGCTACGGACCACAAGACTTACCTTGTTCGGGGTCGGGAGACTAGTCAAGGTACGCGTAAACTAGCCCAGATACCCCTGGTAACCAAAAAAAAAAAAAAATTACACTTGAATTAATGTATATTGTTCATTGAATAGGTTTTAAGTATTGATTTGTCACGCTAATACCGAATCAAAAGAAAACCCTAGTCCCAGAAAAAAAAAAAAAAAAAAAAAAAGAAATCATTGGATGAACGTTGAATGTTTGTATCAATGAATAGTGTTCCCCAACAATCTTTCATATCAACAATACAATTAGTTTAATTCGTCATCCAATAATTATGGACCTAATAATATTATCATTTCATTTGAAGTGGTCCCTTATTTGTCAGAATTAAAGACATATAATTTACACAAAAATGTGTGGCATTAATAGGGCCAAGTCGATGAATTGAATTTGAATGTCTTCGTGCATGCCTTTTGCGAGATTACCAATCTCTTTTATTCAAATTCATGCGCAAAGAAAACCCTAATCAATCATACATTGTTGAGACATTTAAAATTACAGGTTTATTACTAAATTGTGTAAGTAAAATTTCTTATTGATTTGACACCAATGAGAACACCATGTATCGTTCAAAATTCAATGTATATAGTAATCGAAGATAATTGAGCTCAGCTGATTTTAAAAATTGTGTCATATATCTACTTACATGAGGTCGAGGTTTTTCATTTGTTATATATATATATACAATAAAACATCTCTATAGTTATAATGGTGAGACTAACTAATTTTATTACTATGAGGAGGTTATAACTTAATAGAGGTGTAGTCAGTGGCGGATTCAGAAAATTTGTTTAGGATGGGCCAAAATAAAAACTAATTACATATTAATATTTTTGTTAGGGTGGGCCAAAATCTAAAAAAAATATATATTAATATTTAAAAAAAAAAATTTGAGGGTGGGCCAAAAGTGGGCTGGATCCGCCCCTGGGTGTAGTTAAAAAATTCCTTATTTCATAATTCATGTTTTAGTAGTACAATATTAAGATTTTAATTTATGTTTTAATAATATAAGGGTTTCAATTCAGCACTTCAATTGCCTACTTTTAAAACGGATAGAAGATCATGTTTTGAAACAAAAAAAGATAACTGTCCTTGACAGAATTGTAAATGCAGTTGCTGCATGACAACTGATGTGAAGCCACAGACAATTGCCAGTTGTTTTAAGCATTACAAAATTAGTATCCCCAATGTCGATGAATTGCAAGTTACAAATGAAGTGTATGAGGAAATCAAAAAGTCATTATAGAATTGAATGATCAGATTCAACAACTTCACTATCCAAATGAGTAACAAGTCATGTATGCTTTAAAAAAAAAAATCATTTATACAATTAAACAAGAAGAGAAATGAAATAATTATGAGGATGATAGTAGAGAAATACAAAAAGTTTCATGTCAAGAAACTATAAACATGCTTGAGAAGCTAGAAACGTTTTAGCTTTAACAAGAAAATATTCATGCTAGCGAGTAATTTACCCACAAGTTAAAAGACGTGGTAACAATTCTGAAGCATAAATTATTGTTCCAAACAACTTCAGATAAATATTTTATTTCATCTTAAACCTTAAATGTAACATACAATATATATATATATTTTTTTTTTGCAATATACAGATAATTATTACTATATGGAGGCAACTTTTCTTAAGATGGGAATTAGAAAAATTATAACTTATTACAATATGGAGTTTATTCTTATTTATAACTATCCCAAATTGGGAATATAACTTTTTATGACTATGTAGAGTTTATTCCTATATAGAGTATCATTATAGAGAGGTTTTACTCTACATATATATAGTTAAAATTATGTGAAAATACACGTCTAATAAAAAATAGTCAAATGAAAATTTTACACTCAGAACCAACAGTGGGTTGGCTGAGTGGTAAGGGCTCGGGGCCAATGGGTTTGCTCTCCTTATGGTCTCAGATTCGAATCACAAGAACGATTGCTAATATTGTTGGCTACAGACAGTAAGACTTACCTTGTTCGGGGTCAGGAGACTAGTCAAGGTGCACGTAAACTAGCCCAGACACCCCCGATAACAGAAAAAAAAAATTACACTTGAATTAATGTATATTGTTGATTGAATAGGTTTTAAGGATCAATTTGTCACACTGATACCAAATCAAAAGAAAACCCTAGTCCCGGAAAAAAAAAAAAAAAAGAAATCATTGGATGAACGTTGAATGTTTGTATCAATGAATAGTATTCCCCAACAATCTTTCATATCAACAATATAATTAATTTCAATTAGCTTAATCCGTCATCCAATAATTATCGACCTAATAATGTTATCGTTTCATTTGAAGTGATCCCTTATTTGTCAGAATTAAAGACATATAATTTACACAAAAAGGTGTGGCATTAATAGGGCCAAGTCGATGGACATTACAGTTCCCAACTAACCAATAGAAGGAATATAATTAATAATTAATGATGCTAACCTTCAAGGATTAGAAAACTTAATCAACTATTAAATGTGATTAGGTGAAAAATCATCTTATCCATTATGTGATACATCACTTTCTTTTCCAAAGTAAAATAATAAGTGAGATGGTTAAACAGCTAAG